TTATTTACATTAATTTTCTTTAACTGCTATATCACCTTTTCTTAAGTCATCCAATCACAAGATATCTGCAAGTTTTTTGCAGCAATCATTTGCATATCTCTTGCCATAGGATCCTCATTAATATAATATTCAAGAAAAACAGTTACTTAAAATGTCTGCCTTTCCCTGGACTTCATTAACTAACAGACTCTGTTACCAGTGTACCTACACTTTCATTTTTTTATTTTTTTTTAAACTTGATGTACTTTTGTGGTTGGTTTTGCTTTCTTTGGTTATCAATTTCTTGTTTTTCCACTTTAATTGCCTTTTTGAAAGCATTATTGGCTTCCTTATATCTTTTATAGGATGCCTCTGATTTGTCTGTTTGAAATGCTTTAAATGGCCTTTTCTTATTTTTAATCTCTTGTTTTTCTTCCCTATCAAGCCACATTGGTTTCAGTTTGTTTCTTTTACATTTATTACCCAATAATACATACTAAGAAATGTACCTTTCCAATATGTGTTTAAAGAAATTCCATTTATCCTCAGTGTTTATTTCACTAAAGAGTTTATGCCAGTCAATATTTTGTAGAGTTTCCCTAATCTTATTGAAAATGGCTTTTTAAAAAATATATGTTTTAGTATACCCCACGTGCTTTTGTTTTTTTGAGTTTATTTAAAATAAATACCATATTGTAATCACTATTTCCCAAATGCTCCCCTACTTGAATGTTGGTCAAAAGATCAACATTGTTATAACGAGATCCAGACAAGCATCCTTTCTAACTGGTGCTTGTACCAGTTGTGACATGAAGGTGTCATTTAACACATTCAAAAACCTAATTCCCCTTGCTGAACTACTAGTCTCTCTATGTCTGGGTACTTAAAATCGCCAATAATTAACGTGTTACCCCGGTTTGCATGTTTCCCAATTTGCTCTAACAGCTGTTCTTCCTCATTGATATTTACATTAGGTAGTTTAGAACAAATCCCAACCAATAATAATATATTTCCCTTCTTTTGCCCCAGGCAGATATTTACCCATAAAGCTTCTACATTTTCCTCATCCCACACCACTTGCCTAAGATTTGACTTTAACTCATGGTTGACATACAAACATACCCCACCACCCTTCTTGTTTTTCCTATCCTTCCTAAATAATGTGTACCCATTTAAATTAACTGCCCAGTCATGTGTCTCATCCCACCATGTAATACCCATTATATCATATTGTTTAGTGTATGCTATTGCCTCTAGTTCCCCCATTTTGTTATTTAAGCTCCTTGCATTAGTAAGCATACATTTAATATTATCATATAATCATAAAATTTAACTTTGTGCAAATTTTTATTACTGTGGTACACATCCCCTGTTTTAGTCTTTCCCCTCCACCCAGCTAATGCTGAGTTAAAGCCCATCTCCTTTCTGTCCTATCTCCATTTTGTAGATTTCTATGTCCTCCCCCCCTACCACTAGTTTAAAATCTACTCCAATTAATAACTCAAGTCATATGGCAAGCGAAAATGGAAAGGGGTATACTGATGAACATTGGAAACAGATACACACAGATAGAGGATTGGGACACATGGATAAACAAACTGGAATCTATAACTCAACAAGTTCATATGGACCCTGATGATCCCAGGAAACGAGCATATAATAAAGGTCGGAACAGTAAATCATATAACATCATACATAAGGGTGTGATCTCTCTCTTCAAGGACAAGTAGTTTAAATAATAACAACTAAGAACCTATAACAATAAGCTAAATAAGCTAAGGGGGGGGAGGGGGTGAGGTGGAGGGAAAAGAGTTAAAGCACACTACCTCCTCTGTCTTCTCTCTTTTCATACCCATAAATCTACTAAATAAAGAAGAGAATATAGTAAATACAGAGAGGAGGAATGGGCTGGAGAAGAGGGAACAAGGGAGGAGATATTTATGAGGACAATAATACCTAGGCTAGAAACGTCTGAAATATGGGAAAATATAAAATTAAAAAAAAAAAGAAAGAAAAAAAGAAAAAGAGAATAAAAAAAAAAAAATCTCCTCCAACCTTTTAGCCATCCTATTCCCCAGCACAGCAGATCCTCTTCCGTTTAGGTGCAATCCATCACGGCTATACAGGTTGTACCCAAGCGCAAAATCGTCCCAGTTAAGATCCTCTTTCCTTCACCAAAACTTCAGCCACGCATTGACCTCTCTAATCTCCCGCTGTCTTTCTACTGTAGACTGTGTCACATGTAATATTTCTGAAAATACTCCTCTGGAAGTTCTTTTCTTTAGTTTACTTCCTAGTTCCTTGAACTCAATATTTAGGATCTTTCATTTTCCTCTGACTTTGCCATTGGTACCAATATGGACCATGACAGCTGGGCCATCCCCAGCCCCTCCCAATAATCCCTCTACTCTGTCAGCAACATGCCGGACCCGAGCACCCGGGAGACAGCACACTGTCAGAGCGGCAGACTATCCTATCTACTCTCTTAATAATAGCCCGGGATCCTGTGACCTTAAGTGCACAAAGTAATTAGCATGGAAACCACAAAATTGGGGTTATAGCCCAAATTCCAGCAAGATACTCAGGAGCTCAAATGTTCCACATCTAGATCAGGCTCCACAGGATTTACATTGCTGATTGTTCTGAGGGCGAGGCTTGGCTGCCAAGTGGAAGCAAAGTGCATAGTTTCTGAGCCAAGATCTCTAATATCTCTTTAAATGGTGAGATTGCTTTCCCGGGAGTCCATGTATTGCTGTGGATAACTACCTTGTCCTTCGTGGCAGTTGTAATGGGCCTGCTCTATACCTTCAAATTGGACGGTAGCCATTCTAAGCAGGCTGGAGGCCATATTTGATCATTTCTTCTGCCCAATTTTGAGCACGTGAGGGAGGTTGTAGACAAGCATCCAGGCAAGTGACGCTGTCTAAAGCAGGTTTTAGAATCGGGGCAGACATTGGCCTTTGTAGCCACCAGAGACAGGTGCGTTTGGACGACTCATGGCCCTGTCAAGCCTTCAGGTTTTGACATTTCAGGGCCTGAGATTGAACTTCAGCAGTGCTAAACATGGGGTGAAGATTTATTCTTGCAGTAGCTGTTTCCAGGTACCTTGAGGGCTGTGATGTTTTCTGCTTTGCTGGGAAGCTGGCTGTCCCATGCTTATGGGCAAATTTCTCCTGTTCTGACATTGTCCCTGAGATTCAGAATTGGCTGAGTATCTTTTGCTGTCTGGTTCTTGTACCCCGTTACCTTTTTAACCTTCATTGGGACTCATGTTTTGCGTAGTTTTACCTAGTTATCAGTAATTTTAAAAAATGGGCAGTTATGGTTATGTATGAGCCTTGATACCTGGTAACTTGACCTAATAATACCTGTCAATGTATTATATGCTCCCATCTTTACATATATTGATTTTAATGGGCATGTTTTATCTGTGTACTTAAGATACTCATACCAATGTTACCATATTACCTGTAACTGCACAACAAACTTCTCACTTAAGTGAATAACCACTCATATTTTCAGTCCTCCTAATTAATTCAGCTTACAGATTCATAATTAACAAGAATGTTTTAATAATTTTATTTAAGAGAACATGCAGGGTTAACTTTCTCTCAAGTACTTTATTCCACGTCAAGGGTAGAGACAATATATTGCTCTAGACAATACATTGCTTACCACAGAGCACATTGTGAACATTTTAGGGTAGTCGTAGTCTTCAATCACCATAACCTCGACAGCATTTTGTGGTGGTTGTGGGGTAAATATGCTATGGGTTTTTTAAAACCATTTTTAGCAGTTTAGAAAGAAATTGAGGATTCCCTGGCATTGTAAGCCCAAATGCTTTTCATTGGATGCCATAATTGGGGAGTTTCACTTACGTGATATTTGTCCTAGTGTTTGTACTTAAAACTGCTGTGCAGTAAGAGGCTGATCCACCCCATGTGCGACACAAAACACTTTCAGTATAATAAATCACTAACCAATAAGATGTTTGTATTGAATGTATTGTATTGTATTGTATTGTCTTGCACTATATATGTTTGTCAAATAATGTATATGTATTTTTATTTTTTTATGTATTCTTTATTTTTGAATAGGCAGGTAGATGAGGTATACATCAGACATATCAGAATTTACAGAAGCCAAGAGACAACTTAGTTGTACAACATATTTCCCTTAATGTGTTGGTACATTATAGCACAGTTGATATGTACATTCAGCAGTATAGGTTATATTAGTATAGGTTATATTACGCGCAGGCAATGTTGAGTTTCCGTCTCTTAACTAAGTTGGTTTCCTCCCTTTCCACCGCCTTATTTAACAGTTTTTGTAGAGTAAGGGAAGAAATATGTGTTAGGTATAGAAGTAGAAAGGAAAGTAACAGAGTAAGATATAACCGTTCGATGTCCTTTTGGGTGGTGGGTCAGATTCCCTACATCTCCCCTTTGGTTTGGCTAGAGGTCCCCGAGATTCGAGGTGCCGCTCCCTCCCCTACGGGGTCCATTGTGCTTTTGTGATTTATTATATAGTACAGGACATGAAAAAGAGAAGAGAAAGTAGTTGCACTGACTGGACTCAAGGTGTGCTGCCCCTCCATCCTGTTGGTCTTTCTGATGTCCCGCATTGGGTCGCCTTACGTGGTGCCTGTGCTAGAGTCTCATGAAGTGTCTAATTGTTCCCAGAGGTCCCATACCGTGCTGAAAGCTGGAATAGTATTCTGCACCTGGATGGTTAACTTGTCCATGAGGTAATTGTTCGCTGTTTTTATTAGTGACTAGTTTGAGTGCAGGTGTCTCCAGGCATGACCATTTCTATGTGTGTGTCTGGGTGCTGTGTGTGTCTGGGTGCTGTGTGTGTCTGGGGGTGCTGTGTGTATCTGGGTGCTGTGTGTGTCAGGGGGGTGCTGTGTGTGTCTGTCTGGGTGCTGTGTGTGTGAGTGAATGTATTTTTTATTTAAATTTAAGTATATATTTTTTATTAATAAAAAAATATATATATCCCCCCCCCCTTCTTACCTTTATCCTGGGAGGGGAGGGGGTGGAGATCCGTTCTGCCTTCCCTGGTGGTCCATGCTGCCTTCCCTGGTGGTCCAGTGGTGAGAGTGAACTCTAACCTGCGGATTAGAGTTCACTCTGGCGAGATCTGAGCGTTGCTGCGGTAATCGCGGCAACGCTCAGAATCCCACGAGAAGAAATAGAACCTCTTCCTCTGTAAACTCACGTGTAATAAATGACTCATTTATCCTTTTTCTCAACTGAGGTCTCTTTCCTTCATTTTCTTCTGTAAATACAGAACAAAAATATTCATTGAGGCAGTCAGCCTGACCTTTATCCTCTTCTACATACCTTCATTCTTTTGTTTTTAATCTAACTAATCCTTGTTTTACTTTTCTTTTCTCATTTATGTATCTAAAAATGTTTTATCCCCCTTTTTTACTGACTGTGCTATTTTCTCTTCTGTGTGTGATTTGGAAGCTCTTATAACTTGCTTAGCCTCTTTCTGCCTAATCTTATAGATCATTTTGTCTTCCTCACTCTGGGTTTTTTTATAATTCCTAAATGCTAACTTTTTGTTTTTAACTATTTTGGCCACATCTGCGGAGTACCACAGTGGTTTCTTGAATTTTTTTGCTTTTACTGACAAGCCTAATGCAATTTTCTGTTGCCTTCAATAGTGCAGCTTTTAAATAATCCCATTTCTCTTGGACTCCATTTAAATTGCTCCAGTCTGATAATGACTCCTCTAACCATATTCTAATTTTAGAAAAGTCTGTTTTTCTAAAGTCTAAAACTTTTTTTTTTGTGTGGTGTGACTCAGTCACTGTTCTTATATTAAACCACACTGACTGATGATCACTGGATCCTAAACTTTCACCTACAGTAACATCTGATACCAAATCTCCATTTGTTAACACTAAATCTAGTATGGCCTCTTTATGAGTTGGCTCCTCAACAACTTGTTTTAGAGACAATCCCAGTAGGGAGTTTAGAATATGTGTACTCCTGGCACAAATAGCTAATTTTGTTTTCCAATTTACATCAGGAAGATTAAAGTCACCCATGATGATAACTTCCCCTTTCATTGTCATTTTAGCTATTTCCTCAACTAGTAGATTATCTAACTCTTCAATTTGTCCTGGGGGGCCTATAAATCACACCTACACGAGTTACTGTGTGATTACCAAATTCTAATGTAACCCAAACGGACTCTATGTTTGCCTCACTAACTTTTATTAGGCTAGATTTTATGCTATCCTTCACATACAGGGCCACCCCTCCCCTTTCTTGCCTTCCCTATCTTTCCTATATAAAGAGTACCCTGGTATTGCTATGTCCCAGTAATTTTTCTCATTGTACCATGTCTCAGTAACAGCGACTAAATCTACACTATCAGTTGCCATTATTGCCACAAGTTCATGGATCTTATTCCTTAAACTGCGAGCATTTGTAGACATGACTCTAAGCTTATCATTTTTTAACACACTTGCTACAGGCACCTTCTGTCCTTGTTTTGGGGACAATTGGATTGATGTTTTATCACCCTTTTGCCCCCCCCTCCTAGTTTAAATACATCCTAGCAAAACCTCTGAACTGCTCACTGAGAACATTTGTTCCCTTTTGAGAAAGATACAAACCATCTTTTTTGTACAGCTTATCTCCATTCCAAACAGAGCTACCATGAGAAATAAAGCCAAATCCTTGCTCCCGACACCATTCACCAAACCACAAATTAAAGTCCCTAATACGCATCCGCCTGTCGTTCTGAGTGTTATGCACAGGCAGAACTTCAGAGAATGACAGTGTGGAAGCAACCTGCCGTATATCATTGGCAAAACACTAAAAACTTCCTTAACCTCTGAAACCTCATTGCAAGCCAAGTCATTTGTCCCTAGATGGACAAGTACATCCAATTCCCCTTCCTGCTTTGATTGCTTAACAATATTACAGATACGTCTCCTGTCTCTGTGAGCAGTAGCTCCGGGAAGACACCTCACAAGACCACCATTGTCCATCTCCACACCTCTTATAGTGGAATCCCCCAACAACAACTGCTTTCTATTAGGCCTCACCATAGTCTCCAAGCCGGTCTCCACAACACCACTAGTCTCAGTGCCTCTCTCCACAACACCACTAGCCTCAGTGTCTCTCTCCACAACACCACTAGCCTCAGTGCCTCTCTCCACAACACAACTAGCCTCAGTGCCTCTCTCCACAACACCACTAGCCTCAGTGCCTCTCTCCACAACAACACTAGCCTCAGTGCCTCTCTCCACAACACCATTACACTCTGAAAGTGCAGAAAATTAATTATGAAGAGCAACAGACTGTGCAAAATGCCTTTTATCCACAACTCTAAGTCTACCAGATCCTACAGTAATCCATCTGCCTTTCCTAGCATGTCTCTGCGGCAGTGGCTTTGCAGCAGTTCCAGTCTGAGTTTCTTCACCAGATAATTTACAAATCTCAGACTTCAAAAATACAATCTCCTGCCGCAAGATAGAGAACTGTGTACAGATTAGACAACAACCAAACCTCCAAAAAGTGGAGCGTGAAACAAATGCATAGCAATTGTTACACTGAACTAAGCCTGCCATTCCAATTATGAGAATAATTTAAATCTAACAAATCTTAACTTTGTATTTATCCTCCTGAATACCTCAGATTACCTCCAGGTTATTTCCAGAATATCTCCAACTACACACTTAGAAACAGCACTTAGAAGTAGCACCAAGCTATATTAGACAAGCTAATGACCACAGCCCTTATATAACTCCTAAAATCACCACCCACTAGGAATGTTTAACACCTGGGTAGGCCTCTGCTTATTTGCAAACAATAGCTAATTAACCAGCAATCAATAGCAAGTAACTAGCTTAATCAAATCAAATGCCTTATAATTACCAACAGGAATTCAAACCTTGGGCAATCAGTAACCTTTTTCCTACAGATGAATCTTACCTGTAACAGTAGAAAAGAAAGCTCTTAGCACAACTCTTAGACAGTTGAAGCTTCTGTAAAACTCTCCAGAATATCTCCAACTAGACACTTAGAAACAGCACTTGGAAGTAGCACCAAGCTATATTAGACAAGCTAATGAGACCAAACCTTATATAACTCCTTAAATCACCGCCCACTAGGAATGTTTAACACCTGGGTAGGCCTCTGCTTATTTGCAAACAATAGCTAATTAACCAGCAATCAACAGCAAGTAGCTTAAGCCTTAATCAAATCCGTACGCGCAATTACCAACAGGAATTCAAACCTTGGGCAATCAGTAGCAACTTTTCCTACAGATGAATCTTACCTGTAACAGTGAGAAAGAAGCTCTTAGCACAACTCTTAGACAGTTGAAGCTTCTGTAAACTCTCGGAATATCTCAACTAGACACTTTAGAAACAGCACTTGGAGTAGCACCAAGCTATATTAGACAAACTAATGAGACCAAGCCTTATATAACTCCTTAAATCACACGCCCCACTATGAATGTTTAACACCTGGGTGACCTCCTGCTTATTTGCAAACAATAGCTAATTAACCAGCAATCAACAGCAAGTAACTAGCAGCTTCGTCAAAATCGTACACCTGAAATTACCAGCAGGAATTCAAACCTTGGGCAATCAGTAACCTTTTCCTACAGATGAATCTTACCTGTAACAGTAGAAAAGAAAGCTCTTAGCACAACTCTTAGACAGTTGAAGCTTCTGTAAAACTCTCCAGAATATCTCCAACTACACACTTAGAAACAGCACTTAGAAGTAGCACACCCCCACAGACAATACAACCCTCTATCAAACACTGCACCCCTACCAAACACAGCACCCCTCACACACTGCACCTCTAACACTCACCACACCTCTAACACTCACCACACCTCTCACACACTAGATCCCCTATAGACCCTACATCCCTTATACATACTCTGCACCACATGCACACAGGGCCAGCCTTAGGGGCATGCGAGCTGTGCGGCCGCACAGGGCGCCATGGAGCAGGGGACGCCGTGCGGCCAACAAAGCTCACACATGGCTGGTCAGGATTTAAAAAAACAAAAACAATTGTGGTGGGGGCGGAGCTTCCCGTGTGGCAGGGGCGGAGCTAAAAGTGCTGGATAACTGCTGCAGGGGAAGCAAGAAGGAGTTCCTGCTTCCCCCAACAAACAGTCTCCAGGAGCTGCACTGCCTCCACAATGAACAGAGGTAACTATGTGTGATTGTCAGTGTGAGAGTGACTGTCTGTGTGTGTATGACTGACTGTCTGCCTGTGTGTGTGTGTGTGTCTGTGTGTGTATGACTGTCTGCCTCTGTGTGTGTCTGTGTGTGTGTGTATGACTGTCTGCCTGTGTGTGTGTGTGACTGTCTGCCTGTTTGTGTGTGTGTGTGTGTGTGACTGTCTGCCTGTGTGTGTCTGTGTGTATGACTGTCTGCCTGTGTGTGTGTGTCTGCCTGTGTGTGTGTCTGTGTGTGTATGACTGTCTGCCTGTGTGTGTATGACTGTCTGTGTGTGTGTGTGACTGTCTGCCTGTGTGTGTGTGTAATGTGACTGTCTGCCTGTGTGTATGTGTGTGTGTGTGTGTGTGTGACTGTCTGCCTGTGTGTGTGTGTGTGTCTGTGTGTATGGATGTCTGCCTGTGTGTGTGTGACTGCCTGCCTCTGTGTGTGGCTGTCTGCCTGTGTGTGTGTGGATGTCTTCCAGTGTGTTTATGGCCATCTGCCTGTGTGTATGTGTGTGGCTGTCTGTGTGTGTGTGGGTGCCTGCCTGTGTGTGTGTGGCTGTCTGCCTGTATGTGTGTGGCTGACTGCATGTGTGTGACTGTCTGTATGTAAGTATGTGTGTGTAAGACTGTATGTGTAGCTGTGTGTGTGTGGCTGTCTACCTGTGTGTGTGTGTGTGCGTGTGGTTGTCTGCCTCTGTGTGTGTGTGGCTGTCTGCCTGTAATTGTGTGTGTCTGGTTATCTACCTGTAACTGTGTATGTGTGTTACTGCCTGTACCTGCGTGTTTCTGCCTGATCCTGTGTATGTGACTATCTGCCTGCGACTATGTGCATGTGGTGGATTTGACAGTGTATATGTATAACTGTGTGCATCTGACTGTGGGACTGTGTGCACAAAACTCTGCAAAAATATACACCTGCATTCACACACAGGCCTAAATGCATGTTTTTATCTGCATTAAATAACCATCACACACAGCCAATAAACCCAGCACAAATATCACATACAACCAATACACGCATATCACACACTGTTAATACACACATTACAAATATCACACACAGCCAGCACATAGCATACATATCACACACAGTCAACACACCTATCACATACACAGACAACACAAACATTACATCATACATGGATGACGGGGGTGGGGGGCGTTGTGAGGATTTTTCGCACAGGGCGCCTAAAGGCCTAAGGCCGGCCCTGCATGCACACACTAGATCCCATATGCACAACACACTACATTACTAGATCACCTGTATAAAAACACACACTACATTCTCTAAACACACACTCTTTACAGCCCCTACATCACACTAAGTCACCTATGCAAACACTCACTGCATCCACTGGTTCTTTTGTCCTCTGGTATCCCACTTTTGGAGATACCAGAGACAAGTCACAAGTAAATGCAGGGCCTTTTTCTCATACAAGAACTCTTTTGTTCTTGGAAGAGACTTGAACCATATGCTCACCCTGAGATAGGGTAGGATAATCATTGGTGATGATACAACAACAACGCCCCCTTTCTGTCAGTATGTACATACTTTTTGAATGTACTGTATATGGGACATCATCATTATTTAAGAAATCACTGTTTTTGGTCAAAATAACCTTTCTATCTTGGTTGAACCTTAAAAAAAAAAAAAAATACGTAAAACCCACCTCCATTTTTGTGCAGAGACCAAGTTCCTCTCAGCCCAAACATGGATGATCTTACACCTACTAGAGGCTGGTTTAGTAAAATTACTTTAATGTTTTGGACAAACACAGTGTTATACTAGGAATCACCTGTGAACCACTTTATTTTGAAACAGAAATGCAAATACTAGGTTTCTAAAATTAAACAGCAAAACAAATTACAATCCTTCAACAGCCAAAAACCACAGGAGATTTGTTTTCCTAAAGTGGAATGTTTTGGAGTGTTCCTCCAGTTTATAGAGTGATAGATTTCTCCTAACATCAAGTGAATTACCACTGACATTAACATTTCTTAAATTCTGAAGTAAACTAACACTCTAAAATCCCATGGTCATTTTAAAAGCAGGACTTTCTTCAGGGTTGTGCACCAAGTACTAGAGAAATAGTCTCAAGCATCAAGGGGAGGACAAGGATGGCTGCTGTTATCACGGTATTTTACATATTTTTATCAGTGGTGTTGACTAAGTGACCACCACTAACAGTGGTTAGGGCCACCCTGGACATAGAAGGCCACATTTCCCAAATTATCACTGCTTACTGGCAGGGCCGGACTGGGGATACAAAGCAGCCTTGGGAAAAAAAAAAAATCTATGCCAGCCCCATAAGTCATTGTGCCATATATTGTCGCACGTAATATGTAAGGCTATGTCTTGCCACCCCAGATGATTAAGTTATATATATATATATACAGAAAAAATAGAATTGCACTCCAGCTTACTAGTGTCGTTGCCCGGTGCTTGTCAAACATGTTAAACATTTAATGTCCATAGTTAAGAGATTGACGTTTCAGTTTGCAATTCGCTATCCTGATGAATGTTTGAATTGCAAACTGAAACGTCAATCTCTTAACTATGGACATTAAAAGATAAGTTTTACTTTAAATATTTTAGAAACATAGAATGTGACGGCAGATAAGAACCATTCGGACCATCTAGTCTGCTCAATTTTCGAAATACTTTCAATAGTCCCTGGCCTTATCTTACAGTTAAGGATAGCCTTATGCCTATTCCACGCATGCTTAAACTCCTTTACTGTGTTAACCTCTACCACTTCAACTGGAAGGCTATTCCATGCATCCACTACCCTCTCAGTAAAGTAATACTTCCGGATATTATTTTTAAACCTTTGTCCCTCTAATTTAAGACTATGTCCTCTTGTTGTGGTAGTTTTTCTTCTTTTAAATATAGTCTCCTCCTTTTCTGTGGTGATTCCCTTTATGCATTTAATTGTTTCTATCATATCCCCCCTTGTCTTTCCTCCAAGCTATACATGTTGAGATCCTTTAACCTTTCCTGGTAAGTTTTATCCTGCAATCCATGAACCAGTTTAGTAGCCCTTCTCTGAACTCTCTCTAAGGTATCAATATCCTTCTGAAGATCCGGTCTCCAGTACTGCGTACAATACTCCAAGTGAGGTCTCACCAGTGTTCTGTACAATGGCATGAGCACTTCCCTCTTTCTACCTCTAATACCTCTCCCTATACAACCAAGCATTCTGCTAGCATTTCCTGCTGCTCTATTACATTGTCTGCCTACCTTTAAGTCATCAGAAATAATCACCCCTAAATCCCTTTCCTCAGATGTTGAGGTTAGGACTCTATCAAAT